AAAAATAAGAAATAAAAAAAAAAATACAAGGGAGTAACACAGAGATTTGAGGTGTCATATGTACTGTCAGGATGGTTTATATACAGGTGGATCGACTTTTACATTAAAGTGTAAGCAAATTCTATCACGAGGTTCTGACAAGTTTCTGTCAGTGTGGGGACCTTTTATCTCATATTTTGATGGACTTGATTACCGAAGTACCATGCCTTAATCAATGACTGTATTTGGTGATATACTGGAGTAGCTAACCCCACGCAATTTAGGCTATAGCCAGACATGGCTTTAAATGTCATTAGTCAAAAAAGATCTATACAGAACAATTGAAAATGGCAATAAAACATATCTGACCCTAAACTGTTCTTTCGATAACGCTATAATGTGATATTGATATGATCGTTTATGCAGCCCTTCTTCGAAGTCCATCTATTATTTAAAAGCTTTGCATTTAATACCGGTTTCTCTTTTCAGTGCTTACCAACATTAGTTCAACTTTTTTGCTCAAAAACAGAAACTACAGCTTTCATAATAAAACCTAGATGTTCAACATATTTGCCACATATTTTGATTGGTGTGAAGGATGAACACAATTTTTTCTCGGCTGTAGGAATGGAAGTATAAAAAACACCTTCATTTTAGGATCATAGTTTCTTTCTAAGAAAGAAGAAATTGTTAGTGTATTTTTTTCTGTTATAAAGAAGAGGCAGAAGAGACCATAGCTAAGAGAGGATCCTAAGTTCAACACAGCAAATTAATGTTATTTAGTTTGTGTTGTTTATGTTAGCAAAATAAATTGCAGAAATTATCATCTGTTTACATGGAAATATAAGGAGTGTCCATATGTAGAAACAAGGATGTATAAATGCTTCATTTCGACCTGAATGTATTTGGAGTTTTTATTTTTTTTTTTTAGATGAGTTCAGCAGATTAATGTAAGATTGTTTAGCTTTGACTGCCTGTACCACTCGTTGTTTACTGTCACTTTATAAATGGAAAACCTTTAGCTGCTCCTACATGAGCGTTCTTGGCATTTTTACATTACTTTGGTGTTTATTGCTTTATTTTTCCATTGATATACTTTTAGTTTAATTTATTCATCTATTCTTTTCTGTTGTTGCACTAAATCAAAGATAATAAAAGCATGTCTGTTTTACCTTCAGATGGTTGGCTCTAACTCCTACCTTTGCTTTTTGCCATTTCGGAAGATATACCGTAAATCCTCTAATATATGACGGGGCCTTTATTTCACTCAGGTACATCTTGGTCCAGGCCATTATTGGAAGGAGGCCAGAATTAGAGCCAGGTCTCTATTTCTATTTGATCAAAACAGACTACCAGTTGAATGAATAAAAACGAAGATTTTGTGTCTCTTTGAACCTATAAAATACTAGGTTCATTTATTGAAAAAACACAGTTACCATAACGGTATACAGAACATTATTCAGACATCTTCCAGCAGCTGCAATTTAACCACCAGACCTACCGGTAATCACATTTGTCTTTCAGATCAGAACGATCTGGTTGGCAACGTGTGGCTGGTTATACTCCTGCAGCAGTGTGTCGTAGTGAGCTTGATTCAGACATTTTTGATTTATGCTCAATATTGAAGCGTGGTCTCTGCTATACACTGTGGGTCTAGATACGGCAGAGGCTGTGAGGACGTGGGGGCGAGTAGTCCAACAACGGAGGGACATGACGGCGAAAAAGAGAGGAGATCTAGGTGGAAAAATGGTCCTCGCTCTTCTAGCTTGTCCTACTTCACGAGTTGTTTTCCGCAATTTCAGTCATAAAAACAAAACAAGCCGACCTCCTGTCTGCAGCAGTGTCTGCGCTAAGGATGGGACTTCCCATGCTAATGGCTTGGATTCGTTAGCAAACATTGCCCCCCTGTAGTACTTGTATGTTACTATCACAAGTTGTTGAGGACTGCCCAGAAACATTGTTGGTTCTAATTATAGCTCCAGCCTGTATAAGAATCCGGCCAGTATTTACCTCCGTCGACAGCCAGACAGGCCATTATTAGAGATCCGGCTGCTAATGGAATACAGGCCAATATTAGAGGATTTACGGTACTTTAAAAATACCACTTTCATGGCAAAACTTCCATGTGCTGCAATGTTCCAAAGTTAAATGGGTTCTCAAGGCTGTTTTGGAAATATCCACATAAAATGTAAACATTAAAGCATTTCTTTCTATCGTCATCCTGGCTGTGATTAAAAATTCTTCTTCTGTTGAGCATAAAACATTTGACATCTTGACCTTAATGTAGAGTCCTTTAATCCCTGCAGCAATAAATTTTATAAGGTTTGACCCCGCACCTTTATCTAAAGATTGTAAAGCTAGATTTACAGCAGCACAGGGTCTACGGTCAGAATTAAAATAGAAACAACCGTTAACCTCTCTTTGCTTTTTATGCATTGGTATGTGTTATGCAATCTTCTATTTCCTACCAGAATGACATATTATTTAAGCAGCCTTTAAATTTAAATATGCGGAAAATTCTGGTAAATGATTTAAACGCCTGTTTTAGGTGGATATTCTCTACACAGACAAGCCTGATCACAGTTTATGTTAGATTACATGATTGAACAGTTCTAAAAGCCTGAAAATACAAATTCTCAGAAAGTAATTTGTCTTTTTGATTGGATGAGTTTGGCTTTTACTGTTATTTATTCCATATTTGTCTGGGTATGCCCTTTGTGCAGCTGCGTTCAATCTTTTTGATTCCGACATGACAATTTTCCACTGAGAAGGAGAAATGTATCACTTTTATTTGCAGCAGCATTGATCGATTCATCTGTGTCCTTAGTGATCCAGCTTGTTCTCTGTACGCTGTTGCAATGCGGCTCTCATCAGGTGAAAACTGCCTCCTCCACAGTTTCAATATGCAAATACAAGAAACCCTTGTCTCTAGCAGCCGCCTCCCCCTCAGTGTGAAGGATTAAATATTCATGATCTGTGATTACAGTGCATCACACTGAAAGGATATTCAGAAGCGAGCCTTCAGTGCCATATTGCTTTTAAATGGTCATGTTGAGAGTCCTGTCAGCGGATTAGTGGCTTCTAGGGATTATTTAGGGGACACATTAACAGCGGATTTTCTGTTTGTGTCAGAATTGGAGAATAGTGTTGAAAGCAGAGCATATGGTGCTTATTTTAAAGTGGTTGGATTAGGAGTTATGGTTCCCTCAGATCCCACTAGCATCTATTATTGACGTTATAGAGAATATGATAGCCACTCAGCCTGTATTTATTTATAGAAATCTTTGTTTTTCTGTTTGTCTTTATTATGTCTTAGAGTTTGATACCCATTTATGTCTGTACAGGTTTTTGTTCATATTCTCAATTTGCTTATTCATTTTTTTGATACTTGAACGTTTGTTTGGCGTGTGGAAGAAGTAAAGTCGGTGTATCTATCTGTTCATCTATGCTTGTTCTAATGGGTAACCTTGATGCTTCTCTTTGATTGAGGTGTTAGAGTATTGTATAAAATGAGTAGGATGTGTTGATAAAAGGTAAAGCCGTTACAAAGCTACTTTAACTTGCATGAATGATCCATTGTACTCTTTTTTTTTCATTTTTTTTTAAACAGCAGAATAATACAAATGGTGTGCACTGTTCAATGACTTGAAAAATACAACTATCAGTAGTAAATATTTGGTCAAAGTTCTGAAATCTATAAATACATTGTACATTTTACTTAGGTATGATTTTAGCAGGATAAATGCTGAATTTCAGTTTTAACTCAAATCTGTTTATATTAAATTCATGTTGAACGTTTACTACTTTTGTTTTGTGAGCATAACATATATATATATATATATATATATATACATAAATATATATATATATATATATATATTT